AAAAAAAAAAAAAAAAAAAAAAAAAAAAAAAAAAAAAAAAAAAAAACCCAAACAATTTTGGTATCTGGTCTCAACCATAGACCAGATACATGTAGGGGGTCCCAGGAGCAAAAAAATCCGACCGGATTTTGGCAAAAAAAGTCAGTTTTGATTTCATTCAAAAAATATAATATGTTCGTTTTGACGAAATGGCTGTTGGTAGGAGAAGCATTTTTTGAGTGGCCTACCATGACTCAGTCTAACTCGTGGTACATAAGTTCTGCCTTGCGAGCCACCATCTTTCTTCCACCAATTCATCTTTGTATATGCTATCATTATACTATTAGTTTAATAATTTTTTTTTTCTCCTTTTATTTCATCTTATTTCATTTTCTTAATTTATTTCATTTTAAAAGGGTCTTTACCCTATTCAGCCCCTGATCGACGAAAGCAGCATATTGGGGTCCCTCGCCCAGAGCCCAATTCGTGAAAGCAGATCAAAAGACATGTTCTCTGGGTCAAAGGTCACATCCTGGCTAAAGTAAAGACAATGTCAAAGATCATGGTTAGGCCCTGGATGGACAGTCACCATGTTTAGATTTAGAGGTCACATCTGTTCGCCAGGGGCAATGCAAGTCATGTCTATTCAAGTTCAAACAAGGGATGTGTCTGTACGTGCAGTCAATGTGTCTGTTCGTGCAGGAAGAGTGTCTGTTCGTGCATTGGGTGTGTCTGTCCAGCAGATGTGAAAGAGTTAAGTTCCAGTCCGGATTCCAGTCAGAAAGAAAGTCTAGATTCAGATTGGGAGTCCGAAATCAAGGCCTGAAGGGCGCAGCAGCAGCAACCCCTGAAGGAAAAGGGATCTGGGACACATACACAGAGGCTGGGACTGGGAAAGGACCAGGACAGGCAAAATTCAGACCTCGCCAAGGGAGGCCAACACTAAAAGAAACGAGGCAGCCTCCCCCACAGGCAGATTCCCATAGGCATTGATGCGGGGAAGTGCCGAGGCACTTGTGCGCTATAATGCTGGGAGAGGCGCTCGCTGAAGAGGAGCTGCGCCAGGAAGAAGGGAGGCTGGGCGCTGGCTGCAGGGAAGCCATAGCTGCGCCAGCCTATGTTAGTAGTAGTAGGGTTAGTCAGTAGTGGGATATCAGTGAGTGGCATTCAGAGTAGATCTTCGTAGGTGAGAGTGTGCATGCATAGTGAAGGGAAGAGAACCAAGACCAAGTTATTGAGAGAGAAGAGAGCAAGAGAGAGAAGACAGGGAGTGAGTCTGGATATGGCGGACACTTACCTGTTGGCGCCACACTTGTGATCTGAAGGAGAACGCTGGCTGAGCCAGGTTCCACGCTGTTGTATGAGGAAGGAGACTTACCTCTTGTTGGCGCTGAACTCTGGAACTCATGATACTCTTTGTATTAAGTGACATTGATAATATAAGCTGCGCTACTTGGTTCTTATCTCATCTCAACCTGGTTCTGTGTGAGGCCACTTCATACGTGTGATGACATGTATGCATGCGGTTTGATGCACTCGAGCAAGCTGTGAGCCGTCAGGTTCCTTGCAATTTTATCAAATTTATTTCATTTTATTAAATTTATTCCATTCCATAATTTTTATTTCATTTTGTCACCATGAATAGAGGGCACTCATTACTACCTACCCTGCGATTGGCAATGTTTGATGAAATGA